TAACTAGGCAGGAGGGCTTTGCCACTTGAATAATTGGTTTCACCTTTCCTTGTTATGCCAGCGAATTGCACTTCAATTCTCATCACCGGCGGTAAGGTGGCCAACATCTAGACAAGTCTAACTAACTCGCGTTAACATTTATTATTTGCCATCTGCTTAGTTGGAGACTCGAGAGTTTGTAGGGCCACTTGACATGCTTAATGAATGGTGAGCTGGTAAAGCGGTCTACTCACTGTTGACAAACAAACGCCAGGGAAGAGTTTTCCTCGCATAAAGGTAACGGTGATAAGTTCATGAAGTCCAGTTTGCTTTCATGCCATCACATTGTATCCACGAGAACTTATAATGACGCATTTTTCCTTATGAATGGCAAAGTTGTGCAGGGATTGGTCACCTTTCAACGATGCATTCACAAAATGAAATTTTAACGAATTCTGCTAGGCAGCGATAATGTGTAATGCGTCTGGTGAAGGGGCTGACTAAGTGCCTCTCAATTTGGCTTTTGGTAGGAGGTCTGGTCTCCCGAAGCCCGCCATCTAGCATTATATTCTCTCTTACTTTTAAGGGAGGTCTGAAGCGATGCATTCTCTTCCAAAACCATCTTCCTAAATGATATGATGTGGTTCGTGGTTTTATCATATTTCATGTTTGAAACTCGTGACACAGACAATGTGGCCAATTGGGAGTGAGGAGCTGTGAGTGGACAATCGGTGAGTGAACTTTTCATGTGAAAAAGTTCAAAAACCAAAATTACCGATCATTTGTTTACTTTGGCCCCATGTGACCCCAATAATTAGGCGCACAAGAGCTGCTTTCCGCCTGTGACCCCATGCGATGACCGTGGTCCCTGCCCGCATTTGGCCGTTGCACGCCCATTTAAAACGCCAGCGAGGACGGCCAACGCAGCTGCACATTTCATTCCTTTTAATTATAGCTTTACGATGGTAATGGAAATCAGCAGATGCCGCTGTGTCAGGTGGCAATTTGGGAAGAAATCCTTCAGTCGTAATGTGAATTTAATTGGGGTAGAAGAGACGAGAGGAAGAGGATAGGGATTGCAGCCTGAGGGAAGTCTGCCCTATCAGAGTTTGACAAAGGGAGTTCGGTTCCATTTCTTGTGTATCAGTGGGAAATGATACAAATGTCTAGCGACCAGAGGAACTAGCACTACTCAACACCAAACTCTACTACTTAAACTGTCTGAATGGGTGAACACGAAACATGAAGGTTGTTCGACGTTGGCAGTTGTTGCCCACACTTGACAACTTCTTTACTGCATGGTTGCACCGAGTTAGTGAAATTTTATTTGCTACTCTTCTGGACTAGTAGAGAGTGAATTTTGGACGAATTTGTTGGTTCTGCGTGTCGAGATTAGCCGCAAATCCAACGCATTAGTGAAGCCGCATCGATATTTATCATGTGACCCTCAACGCTGAGGGATGTCAGCATGGCAGAGCCTTTAGAAAGGCGCTCCTTTTCTTTTAGGAAAACAGTTACAGGAGTGGATTTTCAGATTCCAGTCAATTTTGAGGAGACTCTAAGGGATGTGAAACCACCCATCATTCCACCCCTATTTAGATCAGTATGCGAGGAGATTCTGGCACGGATTGCCTCTCGTCAGTTGAGCATTCTTCCAGCTCCTCTAAGTGCTCTTTTTTTTAATGCCGATGCCATGGGAGAAAGTTTACAGTGGACCGCCCAAATTGACGAGGTTATCAAATTGCTTCATTTTCAACACAAGGGCTTAAGTGAAAAGCAGAGAATTCTCAAACGCAAAGCAGATCTAGAACCGCATCAAACAAGTGTCATTACTCGTGCCATGTTCCGTTACATCGAACTATGCTCCGGGGGAGTCGATTTGACCATTGAATTTCCAGCCTATGGTTATTTGATCCTCGGTCCGTCTCTCCAAAACGAAGGCAAGGCGGATTTGAAGACCTACTTACGCTCACTTGACGCATTCATTCGTGCGGCGCTGGAAAAGAACCCCATTAAACGCGATATTTTTTGCTATTTCATGCATTTCTTGTCTCAAATCTACCAGCTAATGGGAGAAAGCTATCGATCGCAGCCAGCACTTTGCGGAATGACTCGCTACCTCTTGGCAAATCGGTTTGGTGAAGAGCTGATCACTCTCTTCTGTACAGAATGTCAAACAAGGATAGATGAAAGTCAAAAGGGCTGCCGAGTTTGTTCTTACATACCAACTCAAATTAAACCACCTTATGAAACACAAGTTATTGATATGATGTTGGAGTACATTCCCCTCTCCTACTGGCGCGAAAAGTTGAACGATCCACGCGGTGGTTTAGCAGAGCGAAGTGGTGCGGCCCCAAAACTCGACCAACTCAACTTCATCCCTCAGACTCGGAGAGTGTCGAGTGTAGGCGACTTGCCGCATATAAAATCGACACACGATAAGGGAAGGAGAACTTCTAAAGTGGAAGGCAAAATATCATTTGCAGGATCTAGTAGAAACAATGGAGTATCGTTACGAAAATCACGACTTTCAGCAGCATTTGTTGCTGAGGAACCAAGGGAGAGTGTAAAAAATAAGGAGAGTGGGGAGGGTGCTGATAAGAGTGATGACAGTCAAGAGCCTAACGACAAGGTAAAGTTGTCGAGCCAACTGGGAAATGGAGCTGGGAGTGATGTCATTGGTCGTAGTCGTAGAAGCGGTACCAGTGGTGTTATCAGTGGTCCCAAATCTATTGGTGGTCGTAGGAGTGGTGGTGGTGGTGGTGGTGGTGAAGGCGGTGGAAGTGGTATTATCACTTCAGCTCTACGAAAAGATTCAATCTCCTCCATATCACTTACTCGCAGACATACACCTTCAAGTGGTATGAGGTCAACCCTGTTCACCACTCCTCCCACCCTCTCGCACGAATCAATGGAGTCGACAGCATCAGAAAGGACGGATAGGACCCTCATCTCCACACCAAGAAGGCAAGTCAAAAGAAAGCACCGAAGAGGGCGTTCGAGGACAAGAAAACCAAGGAGTCGTAGCGTCCCAAGAAAGAATCGCCAAAGAACGAGGTCCGCCGGCAGGAAGAAGAAAAACCGTGCTCGTTCTCCGAAGGATAAGAAGGAAGTGGGTAAAATTCGC